CCCCCCCCCCTGCCCCATCAGAGATGGGAGAGGACACCCAGCCGCTGCACCCCCGGCTTCCCACCGACGGCCCCTGCGGCTGAGCCTCCCAGAAGCTACGACTCGGGGAATCTCAAGACCGGGACCGCGGGCGCCTCTCGGCCCAGCAGGGAGAACGGAGGCAGGAAAGGGTCTGGGTGCCGACCCGGGGCCGGCAGCCAGAGGGACTCTTCTCCAGCACAGGTGACCCCCTCACCCCCCGGGGTCCCGCCGTGCGGTGCCCGTGATGAAATGAGGCGTGAGTCTGCAAGCGGGAGGGAAGAGGGTGCACGGCCACGGAGCCTCCTCTCCCCACCTGCTTGGGAAAGTGCCCATTCTGGGAAGGAGGAGGAGGAAGGGAGAGAGGAAGCAAAGGAGGGAGACGTAGGTTTAGAATTACAATCCCACCGCATCCTTTAAATAACCCTCAGTAGTGCTGAGAACTTCTGTGCCCATCTTACAGATGGGGAAACGGAGCCTCGGAGGACTGAAATGACTCGGCACAAGGCGCACACTTCGCCCGGGGGCAGGTCTAGGGGTTCATACTCAGATCTGCTCGACCCCAAGCCGGTGTCCCCTCCACTCCGCCTGGCTGCCTAGAATTTTTTTTTTCTCTTTAAACAATTTTTTTTCTTTTTTTTTCATGTTCAAATGGCAAAGACACAAACAAACAGAATTTGCTGAAACTTAATAGCAGACCCGCCTCTTCCATCAATTCAGTTGTAAATCGGCTCTGCAGCGAGTTCAGAAAAAGCCCATGTTGTTTGTTTAAGGCAGTTCATTGGTGATAACCCACCGGGGCTCCTGGAGAGGCTGTTGATACGCAGACGTTTCTGATGAAAAGCAGTGAACACACAGAGGCTTTTTCCCTTCCCTCTGCTCTTGAACTGATCGTGTACATCAATTTAGTTCTAATAAAAACGTTCATGGCTTCAGTGAATCTTCACTTATGGTTGAGGCCCTTTGGGTGAGTGGATCCTGTGAGAAGCAGGGGTTTGGCCTGGGGGTGGGGTTCCCAGGAGAAGGACAGGGCAGCGGGTAGGGGAGCGGAGAGGGAAGTAGGGGCACGGGAGGGAGGGTGTGGAGGGGCCCAGGGTGGGGGGAGGGCACAGGAAGAGGAACGAGGAGGGGGAGCAGGGAGGACAGGAGTGAGGTGGGACGGTGGGGACCCAGGCCTGTCCAGGGACCCAACAGACACAGAGACGAAAGACTCTTCTGAGAAGCCCGGAAGCCTCCCCCACCCTCTCCCTGCAGCAGAGGCCCCAAAGGAGGGGCTGCCTGGAAGAGGAAACGGGATGGGGGGGTCCTGGGGGTCCGAGGCCTCCTCCTCGGGCCTCTAGCGCCCACAGGTCCGGTCCGGGAGTCCCTGACCCAGCTGCAGGCACGAGAAGTCGGGGAGGGCGTGCAGGTCCAGGCACCGGCCTATCTCAGGGCCCGGCGGCTGCACTCTGGAAGGATGCGCGGCGAGGGGGGCTCACCTCGGCCCCCCACAGACCGCCCAGACCCCCCCACCAGTCCCGCAGCCCCGGCCCCAGCAGGGCCCCAGCCCGAGTGAACGCTTACCCGGGATTCCGGTCACGTCGGAAAAAGGAGCCTGCCCCACGCAGGAGGGTCCCGTGCGCACGCCCGCCGCACCCAGAAGACTTTCCCGAGCCCCTCCCCGTGGGGCTGCCTGGGTCACTCACCGGGGTATTCACTCCCCTGCTCGCTCGCTCGAGGGGGGCCAGGGAACGTGGGAGGCAAAGGCGGCAAGAGCCCCCACCCCCGCCACCCCAGCCGGGCCCAGAGAAGGACGCCTGCGCTCCGTGGCCCAGGTGGATGTCGGCACCAGCCGTCGATGCCACACACGGCTTCGTGTGCACGTGGAGCCTGAAGCTCGCTCCACGGGTGCCCGGTCCCCACGCAGCCGCCACCCTGGCCCCGCGGCCTGAGCACAGCGGTGGCAGGAGTGGGGTCGGGCGACCGGTCTCAGGGGCCCGGCTGGTCTCTGGATCCCTGCATTGACACCTGACACGGCTGCCGGTTCCTGGGGTCGCCAGGTCTCCAAAAGCCCTGCCGGCGTGGCTTTCTTATGTGGCTCCTCAACTGTTGGCCGTTATCCACTGGATGGGCCGTCACAGTGTCTGGGGCCTGCGTGTTTCCCTGGACGGGCCCGGGGAACCCCTGAGGCTTGGGAAAGGAGGCAGCAGGACATCCCACACAGCCCCAACCTTGTCTCTGGGGGTGCGGTTTTCCGGGGGGAAGGGCCCCTCCTCAGAGCCCGGGGGGGCAGCAGGGCAGGGACGGGCTCTCTGTGCCCTGACAGCCAGCCACGGCTGCCTCCTGGTCGCGCCGACCCTGGGCCCTGAGCTCCTCCAGCTGGAGGGGTTTAGTGCTGGTCCCGAGACTCACAGACCCCCCGAAGGAGCTCGGGGAGGCCCCCACATGTTTGGGCACCAGGAACACGGTGTCCCAGCTGCCCTCAACACCCATGTTGTGACCCACGGCACCCAGAAGCCACGGGGAAGCGTCCTGTCTGCAGGTCTGCCTCGGTGCGGGTGCCTGCCATGTGCACCTCTCCCGAACCTCAGCCTGGGTCCTGAGTCCACCCGAGGGTCAGCCCCGGGGCACTGAGGAGGTCAGGGCGACTGATCACCAGCCACGCCCCCGGGCGCACATCACAGGCGCCCACAGCCGGCCCGGGAGCCGCGTCACCTGCCTGCCGGCTCAGGAGCCCGACCACTAGGTGGCCAGGCCCTCACGACGGCCTGTCCTGCACACACAGAC